ATGATGATGATGATGATGATGATGATGATGATGATGATGATGATGATGATGATGATGATGATGATGATGATGATGATGATGATGATGATGATGATGATGATGATGATGATGATGATGATGATGATGATGATGATGATGATGATGATGATGATGATGATGATGATGATGATGATGATGATGATGATGATGATGATGATGATGATGATGATGATGATGATGATGATGATGATGATGATGATGATGATGATGATGATGATGATGATGATGATGATGATGATGATGATGATGATGATGATGATGATGATGATGATGATGATGATGATGATGATGATGATGATGATGATGATGATGATGATGATGATGATGATGATGATGATGATGATGATGATGATGATGATGATGATGATGATGATGATGATGATGATGATGATGATGATGATGATGATGATGATGATGATGATGATGATGATGATGATGATGATGATGATGATGATGATGATGATGATGATGATGATGATGATGATGATGATGATGATGATGATGATGATGATGATGATGATGATGATGATGATGATGATGATGATGATGATGATGATGATGATGATGATGATGATGATGATGATGATGATGATGATGATGATGATGATGATGATGATGATGATGATGATGATGATGATGATGATGATGATGATGATGATGATGATGATGATGATGATGATGATGATGATGATGATGATGATGATGATGATGATGATGATGATGATGATGATGATGATGATGATGATGATGATGATGATGATGATGATGATGATGATGATGATGATGATGATGATGATGATGATGATGATGATGATGATGATGATGATGATGATGATGATGATGATGATGATGATGATGATGATGATGATGATGATGATGATGATGATGATGATGATGATGATGATGATGATGATGATGATGATGATGATGATGATGATGATGATGATGATGATGATGATGATGATGATGATGATGATGATGATGATGATGATGATGATGATGATGATGATGATGATGATGATGATGATGATGATGATGATGATGATGATGATGATGATGATGATGATGATGATGATGATGATGATGATGATGATGATGATGATGATGATGATGATGATGATGATGATGATGATGATGATGATGATGATGATGATGATGATGATGATGATGATGATGATGATGATGATGATGATGATGATGATGATGATGATGATGATGATGATGATGATGATGATGATGATGATGATGATGATGATGATGATGATGATGATGATGATGATGATGATGATGATGATGATGATGATGATGATGATGATGATGATGATGATGATGATGATGATGATGATGATGATGATGATGATGATGATGATGATGATGATGATGATGATGATGATGATGATGATGATGATGATGATGATGATGATGATGATGATGATGATGATGATGATGATGATGATGATGATGATGATGATGATGATGATGATGATGATGATGATGATGATGATGATGATGATGATGATGATGATGATGATGATGATGATGATGATGATGATGATGATGATGATGATGATGATGATGATGATGATGATGATGATGATGATGATGATGATGATGATGATGATGATGATGATGATGATGATGATGATGATGATGATGATGATGATGATGATGATGATGATGATGATGATGATGATGATGATGATGATGATGATGATGATGATGATGATGATGATGATGATGATGCATTTACGTATGTTCATTTCATATTACCTCTTCTATATTCTCTTGTTAGTCGTATTACTTGTTATTCATTCTATAATCTTTGTTATTTTATTCACTAATATTTATTTGCTTAATGCTGAAATGAATTAAATTATATTCAATTTTTAGGAAGAAAATATAGGTTATCTTTTCATTATTCATTTACTAAAAACACCTTCATGATTCTTGTCTCTCAAATATTGATTGTTTTAAAAATTTTACTCTTAAAGAAATGTTTCTTTCTACTGAGTCTTATTAAATAGTTCAATTAATATTAAAAACTTAACTTAATTTTGAATCAGCTAGAGTTGTTTTTACGTTCTAAAATCTATATTATACTATTATTGTTTTGTATGGTTGAATATTTTTTCAGGCAATTGTTATTGGGAAATTGTTCTCATGAATAACTAAGATGTAACTTAAGATCCCATTATATACATTAATTTTGTGGACTTTTTTCATAATTATATTTTGACAAGATAAAAGTAAAACCCGGAACTTTAAAATTGTTTTCCTTAATTTGTCTTCAGATTTAGACTTAAACATAAAGCATAGTATCATGGTAAAACTTCAAATAAGCTACTCTTTAGTATACCTGAATAAAATACCCTGTTGATTTAAAATGGATAACTTTACTACTCAACTAAAACTATAAGTGGTTTTTAATCTTTCTTCATACTTTAGAAATTTAGATAACTCAATATATCTGCAACGGATTTATGACTATATTATTAAATCTTGAACCCTGAAAAATTTTTACGGTAGAGTATATTTTTATGACATTCTTTTATTGTTAATTAAAGTATTTAAAGTTATTAATTGAAAAGTCTCTGTTAGTTAGATTAATCTTTCAAAGTCATATCATTAAATGTTCCTGTGTTACTGTTAGCTAGACACTATAATTTATAAAATTAGTCTGATCCGAAGTAAGAATGCATGTTCACTCATCGTATTTAAAAAGTAGTTACTAACTAATTAAAAATGGCTAATTTAACCGTAAAATTCTAATCCAATAACTGAATCACAACATTGTTACTACCAAACATAATGTTTCAAATCTTTATCCTTCAATATACTAAAATTATACAGTACTAATATGGATATATCAACTATCCTATACATTAAAAATGTTAAAATCCTATCCAACTAATTTTAAAAACATAATGAAAACTATCAATAGAACTATTCATATCTGATAACCAACAAAAGAACAAAATGTAAATACAAAGATTTTCTAAACATACATACTAAGTATACATTTTCACACTTAATAATTTTCATTATTGAAAGCATGTAAAGTCAGGTAATTTTCAATATATTCATCTTCTCTTTTTTTTAATTTTCCTTTTTACCAAAAAAAAAACAAAACAACAACAATCTATCATTCTGTGTTTATGTTTCATCTACTTTAATCTTTATGAGAAAAAATAGAAAGAATTAAAGCATGAATAAACACTTGAAAGGTGTCCACAAATCCATATTATAGGTGTAACATATACATCATAGACAAAAACAATATGATAGTCTTTTTCAAGTTTAACAATTAATTAGGGCGTTAATTAATTAATGATATTATAAATGACTCCTTTTTATTCATTTGCATGAATTATAAATAATTCGTAATAATTAAACTGAAAATTAAAAAAAATAATGTATCCAACAGAAAGAAATAATCAATGTTGTTGTATCTTTTATTGTTATGATTAATTTAATGAGTTTACTTTTCATTCCTGTTTACAATAATAAATGAATTCTTAATAAGCTATTTAGAAAGAACATGTTTTCTATGGCGGGATTTAAAAAAAAACACAACTATTTAATGTAGTAATATCTTACTTGTAATGATTAATGAGTTGTTTTGTTTTCAAACAAAAAAGGTGTTAATAATGAATATCAAAACAACTTATTATTTACTTGTCAAATTACTTAATATTTTTTAGTTACTAGTTAGTAACTAATATCTTGTTGTCTAGCGATAAACAAAGTTATGAATTGTATGTTTAACTTGATTACTTGAAATGAAAATATGGTTGTCATTACGACCAGAGATACGTCGACTTTAAAGAATGTTAGATATAGTTTATTAGTGGTACTGAAATATAAAATTATATCAATTCAAAATTTTGAGGGTATCCATTCCTTGCTGAACTTGAAAATACATATGAGCGATGAGCCTTAAATAGTACAGAACATGAGTCCTGGGTTTCACTCCTACCATTATTCATCTCTTCTTATAATGCGTGTGGCTTACTGGCAATATCGAACCAATCCCTATAGAATGCATATATGCTAAAAAGAGACTGATTAGTGTCAGTCCTAATTATCAATTGAAAAACCTAATCAACTAAAACACGCGATTTAAGAATGAACTGCTCACCGTTAGATAATTTATCGACATATGAGTAAAAGAACCTCACGATAACTAAAAAATTTTCCAACACCACAGCCGAAAAATATGTATGAACCTATAATTCAACATTCACTTGTCAGTTCAAGGTTCATTCAAAAGTACCAAAAACAGAAGTGAGTGGGGTTTGTGAGATGCAATACACATAAAACTCAGAACAGTGTAAGTGTAATACAGTACAGGTAATTGTAGGGTATTTTAATGAAATTCAAGTGTTATTGACACAGATTTTTCCATACCACAGCTATTTTTCTTTTGGCCAAAAAATCAGATAACCTCACATTTACATATCATCCAAAAGGCAAAAAAATACACGCACAAAAGTTGTGTAACAAAACGTATCATTAGACTTGAGAGAATTAAATTAACATTTGACATGAATAATTTTAAAAGAAATAACGTTGAATCTTTGGTAATTTTCTGTCTCATTTATTTGTAATCGTTTGTCACGGTGGTCTTGCTAAAATTTCTTTTGACGGAGTTAGTGAACATCTTTGGTATGTATCAGCTACAGTCATGTATGGAACAATTAGTAATTCCTTACGATCAAGTCAGTCAAAAAGGGTCATTTGATAAATATCGATTATCAACCAGGTAAATATGGACAGTTTCATGAACCGTTATTACCAATCTGTCATTTCAAATGTTAATTATAAGCATCCATTTACTTCGTCCTAAAACGCTTGGACGATAAGAACAGCAAGATACCCTACTTCCCCAGTACCCTCCGACTTTGTTTAATATTCAAATATACGAACAAACACAAACTAATGATACCGTAGTACTGTGGTTTATGCTACTTATACCGACAGATGTAAGTAGTACGTGGCCGCAATCGGAAGTGGAATATCTGGTAGGAGATTGCATTGATAAGAACAAAAAGGCAATCAAAAAAGAAAACGAAATAGAGTAATAATGGTGTGTGAATGACGACACAGAGGAGATGGACAAATAGTGTATTTAATGGGTGGTTTTCATATTTTTCTGGAGTGACTCTATGATTTGGCATCAAACAATAAATTGGTTTTCCCATATAAGTTCTCTTTCACAACAGTATCAGTTTTCCCTATTCGGCTTGAAATCTTTAGTATGCGTAGCTTATGTATATATTCAATAAAACTTTGCGAAACCATGTTGATGAACACCACTCAGCTATGTTAATTTACTATGTGCCACTATTCTAACAAATGAGCATTTAGGTTTGTTGTTCATAGAGAAGATTCACTCGCTCATAGTTAATCATTAGCCATAAGTTTACAGAAATCAAAGAACTATAAACTATACACTCTCACATCTAACAATGGTCAGTCAAGTCAACGAAATATGCTGAATATCTGTGAGATTATAATCTTAATACAGCGACGGAGGCTATTCCGAAAAACAGAAACACGTTTCTCCCTGTATATTTCCCAAGGATCGTGGTGTCCGATGATGAACAAAACACTCTGCAGACACTTTGGACGGTAATATCTATTATTCTACATTTTTCTTGGTTGAGAAGATCAAGGTTTGGTAGTTCTGTTAGATAACGTATTTTTAAAAAATCCATACTGTAGTTCACTAACAAGCTTTAGGATAATCCTGATGCATCTTATCAGTCTTCCTTGATGGTTTCATCAGCGGCCTCCCAAGCAAGTTAGACGTCTCTCGAAACAATAGGGTGATATCGAATGCCGTGTCAATCTAAAGACACGTTGGGATGCTGCTCAGTAAGATAGTAAGGTACTCCCTCCGACTATCGTAGTCTGTTTAAAAAACTGCTACTAGAAAATTTGATTTACGTTAGGCTGATTTCACTATGTGCTGAGAACCCTTACGTTTCTTCTTGAACTGAGATGTACGATTCTGCAAACAATGGCCTTTCTTATGTCTACATCTGTCGAAAGTCTGCAATTTATGGTTCTTAAATGAACAGAATCTTATGTATTGATAATCACCACATTTCTTCAGAAATGCAGTTATACATGCGTTTCAGTAATGCCTGCATAATATTCGCCATATGTAAAGAGGTTCTGTAGAATTCAGAAGGATATTGAATTGATTTTAAAGAAATTGAGGGAAAAACTGAAAAAAAAAACGAAAAAAATAAACTTGAAATACAAAAATAACTTATTAGGCATGTTTATGGAGACAGACTAAAAGCAAACGGTAATATGCGTGCTATAGAACGAATAAAAAGACTAAAACAAATAAATAGATTACTCATTATTGTGGAAAGATTTAATTTTAGGATAAGAGTTTGTTCAGTAAACGTTTACAGTAATCGCATGAAGGTCCTAAAAACTGCGGAGAATAATTGTCAAATACAAACTTGTATGAGTGATAGACAACCATCACAGTTCTTACATCGCCTCGAGTCTTATTGGGCGACAGTGATGTGAGTGAAACAGTTCTAAAACAAGGAAGGATACGGGACCTCCCAAGCTACGTCCATCACTATTTGAATGCTCAAGACTTGGGCGACTCATACCTCAATTAACACGTATTGCAGATAGAATGATGGAGAAAGTCCTCCGAATAGATGGCGTACTATGTCATACATGAAAAAGAGAATCAATAAAGGATAAGCAGAACTCATTGCTAATGTTAAATGTTTTACAGATACTATCGCCGAAATGCAAATGGATCATAAAAACAAGAGCATGGAACACAACAACCGAGGTCCAAGACACAGACCAGGTCACAAACGTTCGGACTATCAAGA